AATCAGTAACTTATCCACAACATCCACCAGACCCTGAAACATATTTACGACAGCGGACACCCACCTCCTGGCAGTTCAACAACCTGCTTGACATATCACATCGCAACTTTCAACATTACATTGCTGGGACGAAGTATGCCATTGCAGGTTCCTTGAGCCTCAGAGTGAGCTGAGGGTACCGCGGAAAACCTGTCTTAGGGTGCAGCTCACAACCCGCGGAGGAGGGGTTGAGAGTACCATGGATTGTGAAGAAACAATGATACGTGACCCAATAGGAGAAGAGGTGAGGTTACGGTGGATAAAATACAGGGAGGGGAGATCTACGTAGTAGAGATGCAAGAGATAGAAGACTAGGAAGGGCGGTCGCGACCAGATCAAGTAGCGGTGTTGTGGATAGAAGAGCGGGTGTTGGAAGATGGAAGGCAGTTGCGACGAGCACAAGAGACGGCGTGGTCGGCAAAAAAGTGCTTAGACCTGATATCATCTTTATTTCACTGCAAGTATCTTAAGTAGTCCTATCCCAGTATACTTGCCATGAGGTTAACTTATATAACGCAATAGTTTGAGATCTAACCAGACTAGTGACCCAAGAAAATCATAGCGGGAAGGCAGAAAGAGATTGGTTGGGGGAGGCTACAAAAAAATACACTCAGCTAGCTACAAACTCCACTTCCTCCGGCTTCCCCTCCCTCGGGTGACATATCCAGGACATAGATTGGAACCTTTGCTTGCATATCAGGGACACCACTGCGTACTCTCAGCGGCAACCACACGAATGCCGCCAATTCACTTTCCACCGGCAGACTCTCAGTTCTCACAAGATGCAGCGAAGCCTCACATCCTGTGTTGAATCTGCCGCACGTACATGTATCGTCGGCGTGTGGCAAATCCTCCCACTTCAAGTCCATTACACTGAGTATACGCCACGTCGCCTTGAACATTGTCCTGTTCAGTACTCTCTCGATGTCTATCATGTCTTGCCCGACCCACTCTGGCCTGTCTTCCGACACCGCTTTGCCCATGTTTGGCAGGTGTTTTGGGAAACACAATTCGCAGAAGTAATTGTGTTCGATCCTTTGCTTTATTAGTCCAAGCCCCCACCTGTAGTACACCTGTTGCAAAAGCACTGATATCTCCTCCCTCGATGCCGGTGTACGTCCACAAACTAGAGCATACGGATATCTATAATCAGACATTTGCTCGGCTGGTTTTTGCAGTTCGAATGTCTCCTGTCCGCAGTCATTGCACACGAGCGTTTGGCATAGAGTACAGGGCTTCACGCTCTCTGCACACCTGGGGAATGGTTTGCATAGTGGGCCGACGTTGGTGGTAAGAGTTGAATGGACGGTGCGACAGGTCGAGGCCAAATTGATGATATTTGAGCGATGGCTGTATGAGAGGATGGCTTGTAGGATTGGGTAGATGGATAAGAGACGAACTAGCTGTTCTGGAGAGCTAGGTGTGGGCGTGGGAGTGAAAGTGGAAGTGGAAGAGGTAGCTTGGAAAGGCATGAGGAATTGGTGCTGGATACGATCCATGGCAGGATAGGAGGAGCGGGAATATGATTGGAGGTTTGAAAATGCTTATCGGGGTTGTGGACCACCGGCAGTAGTCAACTAGACTAACAATAGTTCTGAGCCAGTAAATAGTATACGTCACCGGGAAACGATTAGAGCTTGAAAAGAGCTATGTTAGAATTAGAGCAGTTACCATCGAGGTTAAATACAGTCTCGCTACGGTTAAATACAGCAGCTGAGACGTAGAACTGTTTCAGTAGCCCCCGAACACAAAGCTGAATCTTTTAAGCCTATTGGCATGAAGATAGAGTTGGTTACCCTGAAATGTCCTCTATGTAGAAAAAAATATAGTCTGGTTAAAAAAAGATGTGCCAACCAGACTAAAAAAAAATAGATGCTAGGATGTCTCCACCAGGGTTTAGCCTACAAGATGCCCCTCTGTGGAGGTAGTGCAACCAGACTAAACCTCCCCACCCCCTCAAGCAACTACAACTACCTCTACTCCTCTTCCCCCAAAGCCAGCTAATCCATACCAATGCATCTTGGATGCCTACTGTTTGCAGTGGTTCTGATCACCCCTTTATCCAACTATGCAATTTCTTAGTCTGGTTGGCACAATCCCCTCTTCAGTGGGATAGCCCATCCATCAGTGGTTATCCAGTGAATCTTGGAAGCTGCTTATTCAGCGGCTCCAACCGGAGAGGTCACATTCTAGCTTTAGCGGCTTAGAAACTGCACACACTTTGCACATCATTATTCTTAGCTACAGCTACACTTTGGCCCGCTTATACCTCCAATAGTCTGGCTGGCACAACCCGCTCACTGAGCTATATACAGTAAGTACATGATACGGGTATAAATGGCGGAATGAATTCATTGTTCCCGGCAGCTTTCCTACCTATTCCCTGGTCCGACAGACTCTCCCTTCAATATGAACACCCACTCTACCACATAATTATAAGACTGGCCTCAGCCCCAATACCCCCTCTCTTCCACCGCACCTAACCCAGCTCTAAGTTCCAATCAATTAACATTTTGTACATCAACCCATGATAATTCACTTCGTATGCAGTGGGTTCAGTTGCAGTTCATCTCTTATACTACCATTTCGTTTGTTGTAGTTTGTGAGCCTGGAACTTAAACCAGACATAAACACTGATACCCTTTACGGTCACTATCAAAGAAGGATAGCTCTATGGCATGTGTATTTCATTATTTCCTCAAACCGATATCCGTGAAATATAGGAGGCAAATAGAGGAAATACATGACGAAGTCCTCAAAGGAAACCAAAAAAAGGCAAGACAAGTATTTTGTGCGCTGCAAATATGCTGTAAATTTATATATCCCCTGGCTTTGGATGCAAGAACAGAAAAGAGACTAACGTGGGCTATAAGTAGGGATGAATCAATTGAAACCCCACGAAAACAAGACGAGCAGTAGGAGAACAATGACAGGAAAAACATCAGATGAAGAGACCCTGAGTCCCAAAGAAGCACGCCATCTGGGTGAATTATGGTACCGAAGGTGTTTTGATGACTCGAGGTGGTAGGTGGGCTTCACAGCTGCCCTCTCACTTCGTTGTCCTTCGAATTACTTATGAGGGAGCAAAGATCCCCCTCGACTTTGCTGGTAGCATACGCCTCTTTGGGCTCCTCCGGCACTGGAAGCAATCGAAGCTGCTGGTTTCAGTCCTTACTACTTCAAAGATTGTGCATTTTGCTCCGTTAGAGCAAAGGGAGGTTCTGTTGATGTAGCTGTCGCCGCAGGGGTGAATGGAGAGAGTGAAGTGGCACATTTCCGTTTCCCCTTCGTTGGGTATAATGGGGGGAGGTAAATATAGGTATATTGGGAGCTGTGAGATCAAATTATGATATTGGAGGTTTGATCGTGGGTTGGGCTGAAGTTTCTTTTACAGAAACTGGGAGAAACCTCCAGGTGAGAGTGGACTACTTTTGTGATTTGATTGATGTGTTATTATTACTGCTGTTTTGACGTGGTGCTGATGGAAACGGACTACAGAAGCTACCGTATAGACTTCTTGCGTTTCCGACGGGAAGGCTTGTGGGTGGGTCGGTGGAGTATATCTCAGGCTATAGATAACAGCGCTGGCATTCCTAATGATGGGTATGCCATGAAGGTATATATGTTGCAGGAATTAAGTTTCGTACATCCTATAGTCCTTTCTATTACATGCCTGTCCCGGCCCTTACTGCTCATTCATAGGATTCCTGCATTCGAGATGTTATCCGTTTTGCTACATGAGTGCGCCTGTTTGCAGGCCTCACTGCTTCCCTATTCGAGCAATATCGCGAGACATCCAACGTCCGGAAGTGCCAGAGGCTTGCGAATTTACCCACTTGAATCTTGCCCGATAAAAGAAGGCAGAAGGGACTTAGGGTGCTCGGATTGGGAATGTTTGCAGCGGGTATGTACAGCTAACTTTAATTACGAGATTTCTAATTGCTACATTACATCGACCTCGGACAACCCCCGGCGGCTCCTTGCATGCATATATGGATTACCTGGAATGCGTGTCATTGTCAGGGTTTGCAGACATTGCTTTCGTCATTTGGCATGCACCTTTGGCCGGGCTTGTGTCTGCAAGGATTGTGTAGGGAGGATGGTGAGTTGTAGTTCGTTATATAGGGAACGGTAATTGCGCTTATGAGACAGCAGGCTCCGGCATTGAAATTCCCCACCGAGACTTTCAAAAACCCTTAATGAGCATATATATCAGAATACCTGGGTATGATTGATACAGAATTGGTGCTTCTTGCATCAAGATCCTTCTGATATCATTCTATAAAGCCCCCTGCTTCGACTAGTTGAAGCATCTGCGTACCTTACCAGGCACACAGTAAATTTATGCAAAAGTGATGTCGATTTACATTTGCAGGTATCGGTATCTAACTGCCAAATAAGCCAATTACGATTACCGGATTGGGGCGAGACACGCCACGATGGGCGTCAAAGAGGAACACTATAGCGGCTACGCACAGCAGTTCCTAATGTGAGGCTATATCCACATTGCAGTTATGGGTAGCAGTATTCTAGTTAAGTATAGCCGCCATGTTCTTGAGGCAAGGCTGTACCCGCAATACCCATGGATTGTCAGGCTTTGGGTTATGCTGCAAGAGACTTGGCAGATATAATCGCTGTGCAAAGTGCCTCTTTGCAATGCATGTCATGATCGACCAAGGCTTTGTTTGGCGCAGTTACAGAGGGGGCTGATCGTGGGGAAAGAAGTCAGATGTGGGATGGTAACTTCCTAGTCCTTACCATTCATTTATCATGTTTGGAAACATCTGGTTGGTACAATGAAAAATATGAAAAACATACATGCACTTGATCTCGAGATATGCACCTGAATACATATGCAGATACTCGGTAGTTAGCTGCACAAGTGGTAGGTACTGTAGGTACGGTACGGTTAATGTTATACATGTGTTTCAGAAAAAAAGCAAAGTCGAAAAAAAGAAAAGCACCCATCACGGGGATCGAACCCGCAACCTTCGCCTGTGAACTAAAGGCAACTTACAAACCAAAGTTTGAACTGACCCTTGTAGGAGGGCGACGCGCTACCATTGCGCCAAACGGGCTTATATTGTTTCACTATGTCTCAAATATCTCATATCGTTGCGCATAATCTTTCTTCAAATTCAAAGTACGGATACGGGGTTGTGTGCATTATGACATTTCTCTTCGTGTATGCATCAATGAATTCATTACGGATTCTCGACATATGTTCACAGTGCATTAGGTATATCAATAGATTAGCCCATGAAATTACGTGTACTGTACATGGAGACAACGATACTAAGACTGAAAAAAACCGCCGAATGCAAATTCCAAATTGCTTATTAAGAACTCCTCTGAAACAACTTGCCGAAGTAAACAGGGCTACCTAGTTGAAACAGCAAGGGACCTATGGATCATCTATGTAGTAAATATACTAGAATATGAGTACACAAGAGGCTATCCCTGAGCTTCAAAGAAAAACAATCCCAAGACAATGCTAGAAGCGCCTCAAACAAGTATTGTACCTACCTTACTCTTTGCAATTCAACCATAGAGGCCCAGAACTTAAAGAACTATGGGCGCTATGATCGCCGAATTTGAAGACAAGAAACAGAAATCTGCCTTGGACAAGAAAGTGACTAAAAGAGAGCGTGAAGGCAAGGGATCACCCGGGGTTAGACCTATGTTGGGGTTAACATCGCTGGTTATCATGTACCAAACCAAACTGAAATATGAGGTTTACAACAAAACATTTGTCTCATCATGATTATGACTGCAAGGGTATCCGTTCAGGAAAGTATAAGTAGCCAAACTCCCATAGCCCTACTCAATATTGACCATTATATTCATCTTTCCATCATACACCTTCCCCGGTCTCCTAATTAAATTCTCCACCAACAAATCCCGAAAATCCGGAACTTCAGAGCCCACAATCGTTTTGGTCTTTGCAAAACCCCTCGAGCGAGGATCCACATCCAACCATTGTTCTGGGTCGTTGCTGTTAAGAATTTGCACCTTCACAACATCCACATATTCAAATGCAAGATTGCTCGTCCTCTTGACCCGCAAGAGGAATTGGTTGATGTTTGGCACAAAGCCAAGCCAGAGATAACAACTGATTTCTCGGCGGACAGTGCGGATGTCAATGTGTATACAGAGTCGCTCGATGATTTTGGCGTATTTATCTTCCACAAGCTCGACTGAACTCGAGCGGGAATTGGTTCGGTGATTTTGGTTGTTAGTTGTTTTTCTTGCAGGTTGGCGGGCCGTTCTGCCGCTGGATTCCTTGTGGGGGGCCTCGAAGGCTGGTGGGGGGCTCGCGGATGGCGTATCTGGGTCTCGGTATCTTTGTGCACGCCGGGGGCGAAGCCGGGGCGGGGAATCTCGAATCTCTTCCCCTAGCACAACGTGTGATTGTTCGGTGGTACGCTTCATTGGAACAACCGAGGTTGGGCTGTGTGCAGTAGACGGATTCTGGGGTAGGCAGTTGTCCTTGGTGCGGATGGTTAACCGCTGCAGCTGGCTCTGGTGACCACTAGTGAACCAATTCACCGTACCGCCTATGAAAAATCTCCAGATTATTTCGTCGAGTTCCTCGTTCCACCTGTCGAATGTGTTAGTCCATCTGAATGCAGCCATTCACTAAAATACTCGTCAGGGATTAAAGTTCAGACCTTTCAAAACTAATCCTTTCTTCTAATTCCGTGTCGGATATGTACTCTCCGTATAGGCGATCCGCCAGCGCCGATGCTAGGGCCTCTCTTCTTGCAGTTCTCCCGGACGAATCTTCGCCTGAGGACTCACCTGTGTTCTCTGACCAATTGACACCCTGCGAAATGTCGTTTAATATGGACGAGCATGCCCTATTCGGGAGCCCGAGCTCGTATTTAAGAGTGTACACCGCTTTATCGTTTGAATTGGATCTGAGTACGGTCTGGGGTTCTTCTTGTAGTGCTTTACTGGGGCCGGCTAATGCAGCCCTGGAACGGGCCCGAGTCTCCATACTACTGCGTATTGAATGTTAAAGCTAGTAATAGATGTTGATTGTGGAAGGAGTATCGTTTCGAACGAAGTGCATGCGTGTATCAAAGCAGCTGCAGTGAGAAGGTTTATACAAGTATCCAAGTATCCAAGTATCCAGGGTCCTGGGAGCCTGGACGGTGAAGGTTATATGGTCGTGGCAAATCATGCACAAGCCGCGGGAAGAGCACCTCAATCAGATCAGTGGCAGTCGTGTGAGCCTAGTTACGTACGTACAGACGGTACAGTAGATAGGTCGTTTGTTCAGCCTCCCGCTGGCGATTAGCAGTTCTAATTTTCTGTCAATAGAAATCTTTTGTGGGGCATGGAATCTGCCTCGTAGTACCTGGGTCGCTCTCGAATGCTACGGTGGCTATTGAGCATCGGTGATGCAGCCATTGTGTGGATGAAGTATGCAGAGGTGTGAGCCTGGTAAGAAACTAGTAGCCCAGCCTTGATGCAGCCTGAATAATAAACAGGTAGTTCGTCGCCAGATCTCTCCGACAATGGCAAACCAGACTACAATGGCAAGCAGTATCAATAGGCACATAAGTACTTAGTAGTCAATAGGTCTAGCCTGTAATAGGTCAGCCTCGGTTGTATCTAGGCCCAGTTGGTCTCAGCACCAATGAGACTCTCGCATTGTCGACCTTCTTCAAGTTGCGAGTCCCACCCTTTGGACAGAGGCTCCCTATTGGAATACCTGAATAGGAGGTTCAGACGGACAAATCTTGTGGCGTTTTCCATTGCACTGTACCCTCAGATACCTCAGATACTATACTTGATACCCCGAACGAGATCGTCTCACCATGGTTGTGTACATGATTGTCAGAATCTTCGATAGACGGCCGGGCCGTTTGTTGCAGCTGTTGGCCAGCATTGGTTTACACATTCCATTTCTCCTTCTACAATGTGCTGGTGCCAGCCCTACAGGTGCCCCATCTTCATATTACCCTGAGCCTGAGATTGAACTTCAAACGGCTGAACAGTCTGAAGCACGGACGGGGCACAATGCCGCTATGTCTGTACCAACCTCAACGCTCGATCTCACCCTTAACGACGTTGTCCAGAAGGCATGGTGGTGGCATACAGCTCCAAGGGCAGAGCTTACAGAGGTACCCACCCATAAACCTGAAAACTGGTGGCAAACATGGCCCCAGCACACGACGGCCCCACCTATTTCTGCGACACTGGGCTCAAAATACTCCCGAGAAGGCTGGTATCTCTTCACTCCCCACCTTTTGGAAGCTGGAGCTACCGTGGTGATGGATGAGGCGGCTTCACTTGAAGCGAGAATAAGCTCCATGTACCATCTCACGCCGCGCTGGACAGAACTCAACTTGCCCACTCCCAGCTACACACGTCCCTCTATGACATGGGGCCCCATCACAAGCCAAGAGCTTCCGCATCCACGTTATCGCACATTAAGTTGGATATCTGGTGAATGGCCACCAAAAAGGCTTGCAGATACAACTTATACACCTTTTATCAATCATAACTCCAACTTTCCTGGGCATACCTTCACAGTGAATGGAACTTTATCTGTAGCTACCTGTGCATTTGGCTATCCAAAAGAAGATCACTGCCCAGCACCAACTCCAACAAGGGAAGCCCATTTTCGCCTCCTAAATAATGAGAGAGACCCGAGAACGCCATTGGAGCCAGCATATCCACGATCAACGCGAGAGACTTTTCTGGGAACCCTCAGAGGCACCAAAAGGAGCCCGTCGTCTTCCGAGCCCAGCCGTCTCAGTAATGGGAACAACGAAGGGGGCCCATCATATCCCAAAGTGACGGCCACTTATCCAGTAACACTGGAGCCACAAAAACCAAAGCCAACCTCTTACTATTGGTCAACTTATGCTGGCCCGACGGAGTGGTATCGTACCAACGGGTCCTGGGCATATCTGGACTTGGCAACGCGTACCTCGGTAAATGGTCATATTGATCAGAAAGCAGTTCCGCGATTTCAAAGTTCCCTAAATACTCTTGAGGCGCCATTCGTGTTGGTTCCTCTTCCAATTGAAAGGCCACTGGGTGGAACTTGGAGGGAATACTGCTATTCGACGCTGGTCGGGAGATATCCTACGGCAGCAATCTTTGAGCTGGAACAAGGTGTTTTAGAGGATTATGATGGAAATCGTTGGGAGTTTAAAAATGACCGTGAAAAACATGACAGACTCTGCCTGCAGCGGGTCCCATTGGCTCAAGAATGGCCTTCAGAGGGCGCGGCACACATAGAAAGGCTGTGGGATGTATTTGAAGCAACATGGGTCGGCTTTAATGGCGAGCTGGAATTTTGGGTCTGTCCAAATTTAGGAGAACGCGAGACCATTGGCATTGATGACGCAGGTTAGCTCATTCGTTTGAGTTCTTTTCGAAATTATTTGATGGCTAATTATTTGATAGCGAGGCCGCTGATGGTGGATTCTACTGTTTGTCGGGGGAGAGTTGAAGAATTTTGTGAACTTAAAGGCTTAGAAATTGTTACCATCAAGGACTGTTGAAACAGAGGCTAGGTAAATTAGTATTCCCGCGGCCACGCCCTTGTACCTTTGTTGCATTGTTTTCTTCTGCTATTATTAGGATGTTCTAATTTCCTTCCCTATCGGGATTGCATACATCCATCAATCATGGAGCTCTTTGATTTTATTCCTTCACGAATACTTTTCGTGATTTTTATACCTCAGCATGAACCAGAAACGGAATGTTATATACCTGTGTCTTTGTTTCTTTGCTTTCTCACTCCTACTTTCCCCTACTCTACTTCCTGCCTTCATTTGTTAAGATTGGTGATAAATCAATACTGCAGTTCTACACTGTTGGTCTATGCAATCTATTTCTCTACGTGTGCATGTGTAGGTTTGAGCTTCGGCTACTCCCAGCGTCCTGGAGAGCAGAATCCATGGTATTAAATTATCAGATGCGTAAGGTTTTAGCTAGGGTTTTTCCAACCTGGAATGGCCGGCTCATGTAATGTGCCGATGGTTTCCTGTTGACAGCCAACTGAGACAGGGCTCGGGGCAAGGAAAACGAAAGACAGAAGAGGGAGAGGAGATGG